ATGTGGCTTTATCACTTCTGTAGAGTCATCTGCATTAACTTAAGTATGATGATCATGTGAGATGTTTGTTTTAGAACCTTACCTTCTCGTGATGGCCTGACAATTCTCTTTGCCTGGTCTTGATTAGGTAAACACCTCATGACCTCTTGAGGGGTACTTACAGGTTGGTGAGTTGACTCATCATGTCAGATCATTTAGTTCATGTATGCAATGGTTGTGATGGAAAATCTGGTGAAGCTTTACACACTTACCATTCTGTTTGGATGTCTCATTGGACACGAAGAAGTTGTGATAGTGTTACACCGAATCATAATATTTCATCTACTTCTTTTGGAAACAAACAAAATTGTTATGCTGCCAACGATTATCTGTTGAGTAGAGAGAAAGCGATAGAGTCCAACAGTTACTCGCCAGCTAAAGAAACCAGAGGAATTGAAACTGGAAATTTCAATTTCATAAATGAGAATTTCAGAACGACTTCAACAACCTTGGGAACTAAAAAGCTAGCATTTCAATCTTTCCCAACAGATGGTCCAGGCACAGTTGCCGAGAATGTTTCAGCTGTAAAGAATAGCAAAGAAATTTGTGATATGAAAGCATTAAGGCCACGGATAACTAGCAACCTTGACTCCAATATGCATACACTATCTCTTGGGAGCAGCTATATGCTCCCGCCTATCACAGTAACTCCAGATGTTAACAAAATTCCATCTAGAGAGTGTGATTCTGGGTCTGATGAACTGTTACAGATTAACAAAGAACCTGGAGAAACTAGTCGGGTGTTTAGAGATAGCAGCTTTGTGATTTCAAGGCCTTTTCTAGAAGAACTGCCTAGATCATCAAATCACATGGTGCAGTGTGGAATTGAAAATGGGGATGACAGAATACCTGTGCTTCCACTGGCAAGGGGCAAGCCTTTGCCAACTTCTGAAGAGCGTGTTTTTGAGCGTGAAAACTTTGATTATCAGAGACAGTCAACGTTTTTGGTTTGTGAAGAAAAAGTTGAAAGGCACTCAAAATCTGCGAGATCTTTAACTTCATTTATGCGGCAGAATAAGGCATCGCTGTTCCAAATGGATCCCCGGGCAAGCAACAATCACTTGCCAATATTTGGTGGAGAACAATTCCGGAGGATGCAGAATTTATCTGGTATCAGTCTTTTCCAGAATCGGTCCAATCTTCAGGAGCCAACCAGCCCACAGAGGTTATATCATGGCTCTAACTCACTACGGAAATTTTCACAGTCACTTCAGGATGTCGAGACCATGAGAATCTGCACTACTGTGGACTCTGTAGTCCCGCTGCATGGAGATCATCCCAGATTTTCTCAGACAACTCAAAGTTGGTTGATAACAAAGAAGACTGACCTTAACTCATTTAAAGAAAAACAAACGTACACAAGTTCAAGAGAATGCACTGGATTGAATGGAAATACATTCTTTAATTTCCAAAGTCTATCTCCATTCTCTAGTCAACAAGGGGCAAAGATTCAGTCCCTTGGTGAATCTACTGATACTGAAGGGAAAGAAAATGTTGGAGATGTGAATACTTCAGGTAGATTCTTTTATGCTGAAGATTTGAAGGCTTTGGGCAATTCCATGAAAAGAGGAGGGAAAAAGGTTGTAGATGGCTCTAACCTAAAAAATGAATCATCAGCTGAAACAGACACCATGGATCTGGATGAGTTAAAGGAGAAGAACCAGCTTTTCGGTATGTATTACCTTTAAATAATGACATTTAGTTAATGTTGAAATTTTTTGATAATCATATTAATAGATATATACCATGTGTATCTGATGCTTGTCGGAAGCTTTTCTGGAGAGCTAAAGCATTGTGTTTGTCTGAAGTTGTATTGCTAACTAGGCTTATGTATTTTTACTGTCTGAGTTTATTTCTCTTCTTCACTGTTCCAGGTGCAAACTCTTCTCCACCAAATAAGGTACATCTTCGACATATTTGACTCTTCTGACAAACAAGCCTTTAGATTGTTTCCTTTCAATCTATTCTTCAGCTGTTATGTGCTACTTTGTAAGCTGATCGATCTGTCTTCTTCTTCCAAAAAATAATTTGTCAGAGAAATTTGAAGTAAATTGATGGTGCTTCCATGCCACTGGAAGGAAGTAAGGTTGCAAGTGATAAATTTAGAACTTGATTGCAATGGTCTTCAAGATTAAGGGAAAACTATATGAAGTGATTTTCTTGTTCATTTTGAATTTATTGGCTAGATAAATTGAATATCCACCATCATTTCTCCCAAAAAAAAAGTCCTCTTTTTTAATCATGAAACGTGTCACTGTATTTGTTTTTGTCAACAAAGTTAATTTTGACATGTAGATGAGAGATCTTTTCTGCATACACTTTATAGGAAGTGTATGTAGTGTGAATGATGATCACTACTTAGTCATCTGGATTTTTCACAAATTAGTTAATACCAAAATACATCTGCTTCATGTGGGAATTAGTGGCAAAACATATGCTTTCTCTTGGTAGTTAGAGGTCTTAACAACTTCTTTAAGTTGTACCTAAATTGAATTGGTACTGTTGGTCCACATTTACAGTCTACCAAAACGAATGTAATCTGCTGCGCATTGGAGATTACGTGAAAGCATAATGAAGCAACCAAAAGCTGATATGGAGTTACCTGGCCTCAGTCAATCCTTTCAATCACCGTTGCTAGTAGAATTTAACTTGAGGAGGTTATTGTGTGCAATAATGCACGACCATAGTAGTCGTCAAGCATGGAAGATCCATAGTGTATGCATTTTCAATAAATAGTGGACAGAAAGTTCTTGTTTTACTCCCAAGAGTCTAGCCTTTTACATAAACTGACTTCTTTTCCTCTTTCTACCCACCCCTCCCCTCTAAAGTAGTTGTTTTCTATTTTATTCAAGTTTGTCGCGCTTGTCTTCCTCTCTTCCACCTCTCTTTCTTTCTTCCTCTGCTTTCATCTTCCATGCTTTTTCTGGTTCCCCCTCCAACATACAAAATTGAAACAAAGTGGAGATAGGACTATGGTGCAGAGGTCGTTCACTATAATAGTGATAATTTTTGCTTATGCAGGACCTCAGAATGAGCTTAATAACACCTCAAGTTATTATCGGTTCAACGGGGGAAGCTGGACACAGACGGCATAGTATCAAACTACCTGATATCAACTTGGAGCTGCCTGCTTTACCTTCTGGAGATAATGTGGATCCAAGCTCATCAAGAACTCAAAGCTTGGACATGGAAACACTCCTTGCCCATGCAGAGCAGCCAAGTCAATCTGAATCAGACTGCTATGCTGGTGGTTCTTCGAAACCAGAGCCAAGCAACCGATGGATTAAGCGTCTTAGATTGAGTGCTTCGGAATCTTTTAGTTTAGGTACAAAGAGCTCAAATATGGGTAAGGAAAGTCGCCATGAGAAAAGCAATTTGTCTTCAGGAAAAATTCTCAAAGGCAGTGTGGTTAACTCGGAGCCGACTGTTAGTAAACTACCTGGTAAAGAATTGATGGTGTTAGATGATGCAACTGCCTTAAGAAGGTATGGTGAGTCATCCTCCACGGATGCAGCGAAGAAAGGCAAGGATACATTGACCTCGCTGTCTTGGATACGGAGGTGGTGTCATAATCAATCTGGAATGCCACAAAAGAAGCCTGATGCAATGGTGGTTTTTAAGCCACAGAGTTCAAAATTGGCATCTGAGGACCTTCAAGACAAGCAATGCCCGAGCATTGCTGCTATGGCCCTGATGGGAAAGGCCATGAATGGTTTTCAAACATGTGAATTCCGGAGGAGGGGATCTTTTATAGTTTGGAACACCAGGGGTTTATGAAAGTATTCATCCAAAAAGGACTCTGTCCTACTTTGAAGAGGAAGAGATAGCTAGAAAGCTACTACTCTTGATCAAGTCTAATTTTTGGTGCTTGTGGTGTTTGAAAGCCTGCTTATGGCATTAGTGAGTACATTTTTGTCTCTGTATTTTTTTTTAATTAAAATTTCCTCTTTTGTACTTCGCTGGTATGTAGAATAAGAAAGGAGAAGCTTTAGTACTGGTGGTTGCTTTGTAAAGTAACGTATTATTTTTAATGGTGTAACATCTATGCATGCAAGACAGAAGTTATAGAGCAGAACTGAACGAAACAATTCTTGCAGAAAAGGTGGGATAGAAATTCATTGGCAATGTAGTACCCGGAATGGAACTTTGGTGGTGATTATTTCTGAGATGGAGTTGATGGGAATGTGATGAAAGAAAGAGTTGGAGGCCGTGGCTGAATCAAAGGGACGATCTGGGATCATTATCAGCACTGGCCAAAGTTTCTGTAGCAGGCTTCTCTCTTCTCCACTAGTACGCTATCTGAATCTTTAACCGCCTTATTTATATTTCTCATATCAACTTTTCTTCTTGTTTGCCACCTAGATATTGACATTGAAGAATGGGTTTCGACTTCATGGCTGATTCTTGAAATTTCCTTCGTCATATACGCATCAAAGGATTTGTTTATATCGTTTGAAATTTGCTTTTGCGTCTGTTTTCCCCTACAAGTTGGGTTCTGGGATGGATAAAAATTGAAACCGCGACTAATAAAATGGAAAGAGGGGAATATGAAGATAAGTTTCATTAAAGCTAAACTACAACCTTTTTGACTTGCACTGGTGTACAATTTGACATTTTGCTGCTTTGCATATTTATCGTGATCTTCCCTTCAGCTTGTGGATATTTTATCTATTGATGGCTCGCGTATCCTGCCTTCCTTTCTAATTTTCCGAGTTGCTCACGTTAAAGATCAGGTAATTTTCCAGCCCATTTGTTGTAAAAGTGCCGCGGGATGCTTCTGGTGATACCCTGTGCTGGCCTCATGACTGATTTTAACGAGCATAACTTCTTGTTGGGTCGCTAGCAATCGCATATACAGATTAAGAAATTTTTACAACACTATCAGTTCTTGCAAGTCTCTTGAGTATTTCTTTTCTCAAATAAATGAAACTTTATAAGCGTAACTCTGGCGTGGTTCAGGGTATTTACATGGATCCATAACTGTATTCTCGCACCCAAAAAAGGTAATTGCACAAGAGATGATTGTGCAGTTACCGTCGTGTCGTGTTGATATGTTACAGAAGAAGTTTGATTGATTAATCCTACGTATAATAAGCAAAACTACGAGCAAAACAGGAGGAGGCAACTGGAAAGCTCAGCCCAGTTTTATTATGGACTAACACTCTAACAAAGCATCGGCTCCTAGACATAGGCTATAGATGTTGCGATTCATGCTCCCTGGAGCTCCGTACTGGAACCACCGGTTGCAATGGGTATCACCGGAAAAAGGGTGGTTCAATCGTCATATCTCTAGGTTCTTGCCCATCACCAACTTCCAAGCACCCCATAGATGCAAGAGATCATATCATATCACCGTACGATCATTAATTGTTGCTTTCTCCAGTATTACGGTGATGCCTGCCCGAATGTAGAATCCTTCTTCAGGTCGGTCTGCTTCTTGAACACCCTGAGAATTCGTAGAATGCATAGATGATATTTCCTTGGATTAGTCTATTTTTATTATTATACCAAAAATTGGGAATTGATACTTGGTCCAGCAAGCAAAAGATGCTTAAGCTTACATCTTTATTCAGGATGGCCACATCCTTCCCAATCTTTGCATTCTTGTCAATTATGCAATTCCTGCATACATGTTTGCCGAGTAAGATGTCAGGATTGAACGAGGAATTATGTTATGATAGGAACTGAACTTACAAAATGTCAACATACCTGATTTTTGTATTCTGTCCAATACCGATGGGTACTTTCCCTTCGGCAAGGAGAGAAGCTATTTCTGACTCAGTTTGGTAATAGTCAGCCCCCATCATGAAGGTATCCTGTAAAAGGCAGTTGAAATGATGATTTATTACCAAGTACCAAACCAGTCTATATTTGTTGTCACCAGTTTGCCATGAATAAGCATCATCATGATCATAGTAGCTGAGCATTAATCAAACCTTCAGTTCCACACCATAATCTAAACGTGATCTTTCACCCACAATAGAATGTTCAACAGTACACTCTCTCAAGAAGCATCCATGTGAGATTATTGAATCCATAATCTGCGAAATGTTTTTGAGTTATCAGATACCAGATGCATAAAGTCATAAACTATAGTTAGTCATGCTCAAATACACAAGATTACCTGGCATTTATCTATCTTGGTTGGAGGCAAGAATCGGGGAGATGTGAAGAAAGGTGTCTTTGGGTCATAAAATTGAAACTTTGCGAACTGCAATTGAAACATTTTCTTAAATCTTTCAGAAGCATATGCAAAGACATATGAAGAGCTAATTTCAGATTTCCATTTGGGCCCAGGCATGAATTCAATCTCTTCAAACAAATATTTTGGGATGTATCAAAACATTGAAATCACAAACAGAAATTTAGATTTCAAAATGACTTAAATACTTGTGAAAGAGGCAAGAGAACGACAAACAGACAAACCTCATCTGTCAGGGCTAAGTTAGATTCATAGAAAGATTTAATTGTTCCTATATCCTCCCAGTAGTCTCTGAATATATAAGCCTGTAAAAATGATGCCCATGGTCATGGATGGGTATTTTTCTGAAGACAAAAAGTGAAACGTGGTCGGTTACTTATATGCACAGAGCAAAATTTGAAAGTTAGTTGGCTTACTCTGACATTACGCTCCTTAACAACTGAAGGTATGATTTCAGATCCAAAGTCATTCGATGTAGGATACCTCCATTTCAAAAGCTGCAGCAGTGCATCTGTCTTAAATACATAAACTCCCATCGAAGCAATATAAGGAGATTTGAATGCTTCTTGTGGAGACAAACCCAGGATGGTAGTATCCACATGCTGCAGTGAAAGACAAAAAATTAAAAAACAGTTGTATATTGAAATAGCCTGACAATTTGAATTGACGGCTTTCACGAACAGAGGTGTGTATCTTATACTTTTCAAATCTTTTAATTTAGCTTTTGAAACCTCGAGTGCCTCCAAAAAAATGAGGTAAGGAAATAATAGTTACCCATGTATAATAGCTACTAAAGTAAGCAGCAGCTTTTGCAGCGTATCTAAAAATACAAGGGGTAAGTTGCAAACAAAAAGTCTCTTTTAGCTATGATGTTTGGATTACTAGCTGCAGAACTGGCAGATAAATTTCACACAGAAATAGGCTTGAACTTGAAAAACAACCTTTTGCAAAAGAAAAAAGAAATTTCAGATCAGAAAGCAGGTTTATCAATTCACATGCTCACCATTGCCTTCAGATCAGAACCTTTGGGTTTTTCAGAAAACTGGACCACTTTGCCTCTGCTGTCAATCTTCACAAGTCCAAATTCTGAAGCACGGCTGCCAAGCAAAACCATTTGATGCGAAATAGATAAGACTTTCAAATCTAATTATAACCCAAAAATACATTTGAATCTACAAAATATCTAAAAGAAAATTTCTTGTCACTTGTTGACTCCTCCCTCTCCCATCACATTGAAAACCGGCATTCATGAAATCCAATAGGAAGTTTCTCTCAATTTTGGTAAAGGAATCCAATAGTAAGAACAACTGAAATAACAAGTAGCAGGTAGAACATGATTTAAAGCGAGTTGTTGATTGACAAGTAAAGCTTTCTAACAGACCTCTCACCAACTGGGACACATGAAAGTGTGATATCAGCATTCCGATCAACATGATTCTGTCAAAGGATCTGAAGCATTAATGACACATTTAAATATTAGGTACACAAGTATCCAAAAACAATAGTTTAGGATGAACAGACCTGCACAAAGTCCATGTAGTCCATCCGGTAAAGTTGATCTCCAGACAAAATGAGTATGTTATCAATGTCCTTGTTCCTTGCATCCTATGAGATTTAAATTTAAGTAAATGAAAAAGCATTTCTAGTATTATAAAATTATGATAGAAAATAGAAGATATCCATGTAAACTAATAACAATATGAAGCCGATAAAAGCAGAGTAGATGATTTGCTGAGATACTATTGAGTTAGATCTTATATGGATCAAAGTGAAATAGCATACTGGACCTGAAAAAAGAAGCACTGACCTCAAACATCCATAGAAATTGGCGAACAGCGTCTGCAGTTCCTTGGAACCACTTCATTCCTGCTTCCCCTGAAGTTTGTGTTGCTGCCAGAACCTGTTTGATACAAAGTTACCAAATACTCCACTCCACATTAAGTTCTATACAAAAAAACACGTTTTGAAGGAAGAGGTATAACCTTTTCTTTCTTTCTGCATACTAATTCAACGGATCTAAACAATTATCTTACAGAGAGTTTTGAGTCCCGTCCCTATTTCACTCTAGCTTCTCTTGTACCTCAATTATCAAGGCCTTAGTTTCTTTTCAATTATTGCATCAAAGTTCAATTACTATATTGGAACTTAGTTTAATAAATGACAAAGGAATACAACAATAACAGATTCCTACCTCTACAAATCCATCTCCAAAGTTCACACCATTTCCATGATAGGTTCGAGCGATATGGCGATTCAGTGAAGCAGAGTTGAATTGAGTCAGCACGAAAATCTTGTTAATGCCACTATTGATGCAGTTACTCATTGGAATGTCTATAAGTCTATAGCATCCTCCAACTGGGACCTGAAACCAATGTGACATAACAAAATTAATACATTCTGAAAAGAACAGTATAACACAAATTGCAAGGTAAATCTATTTTTATCAAATAACTAGAAAACCAGATATTTAAACAGGCACAAGAGACCAGAATTATGATCTTACAGCAGGAGTTGCAGTTCTGCTCGTCAGAGGGAAAAGTTGAGTCCCAGCACCTCCTCCTAGTATGATAGCAGCCACATTCTTAGGGTCCGCCCTCCGTCTCTCAAAACGTGGTGCTTCTATGGTCTGAATCACAGATCCAACAGGCATATCAAGAAAATTATAACAGCACATTAACGAAACAGTAGTAACATCAAAAAACATATCATGCAGCGCTTCCAAGTTTACTAGAACCATTTGAACCTAGTTATTCACTTATTCTTCAAGGCTGATGGATCAACAAGCAAAAATCTCCAAAAACAAATTCTCTAAAATGAACTTACCAGAGTCTCTTTTCCAGTTTCTCTGGTGATGACCGAGACCATTTACTGTTGCCAAGTGGGCAGTGGTTTTCATTGTTGCAAAGCCAGTATCCATCACCATGCTTGTCTCACTACCACAACCAACCCAGAATTACTCGAATCAGTAGCTTGCGATTGAACCCAAAAGAAAAAATTAGTAAGAAGGATCACAGGTGAAGAAGCAAGAGCGCTATCTCTAGTCCCAGTAAAGTGACAGAAGCAATCTAAGTAACCAAGTAAAGTATAAATCACATAAAGATTCTAGTACTATGTGCTAATTAACGAATGGAGACAGCCAAATGTGACCCTCAATCAAAGTTACCATTTTTCTTATCCAATATAATACTCTTACTACTAATAACTCCCGCTAGGATAGAGCGTCTACAACGAGAAAAGCTAAAAAAATTGAATCTTTCACATTAATGAAGGGCCTTACATGGAAATCAGGTGCAAAAGCAAGACAATTGGCCCAGTCCCTGATCAAGAAGAAAAAAAGATCAAACGACTACGAGAATCCGAATTCCCAGTACTTGGAAGTTAGTGGCCAAGATTCTAGCGAAAAGCCGTTAGTTATGCAGTAATACTAGTAAAAGTTGATTGGGAGGTGATGGAGGAGTTTGAAAACCGAAGGACTGATTAAGGAGGAGGAAATGCGTGAATGTTTGTTGAATTGAGATATCGAAGGGCTGCTGGCTAGTGGGCTTTCATTGGCATGTGAGCTTTCACGAGAAATCTGGCAATCTTTGGTTTTTATATCCCTAGCAAGCACACCCAGAAAACAAAATATATAATATATATATATATATATATATATATATATATAATTGCAATCAAATATCATAGTGATAACATCTACGACCCTGACTCTCTTTCTGTGTCACACCCATTAATAGGATTATTGGATGCATTATTACGATGATCAATTGGCTGTATTGTTTCTGCTGATCTGGTTTCTGCAACAGTCACACTTTCCTAGGGTACTTCAGCAAAAATCCAACAGAACTCCCATACAGGCCGAACACTTGTCTGCATCATAAGATGTTGCTGATGTTTTTGCTTTAGCGGGTGACTAATGGAATTCAAGAAACGAAAGGGGAACTGTGAATTTGCTGATTTGAGGCGGCATGGGCAGAGCTCAAATTGTGGGGTGGGGGGTCACCATTTTGCGGCTAACATTCCTTGAATCATCATTTTATCATTCGGTATATACCAAAATCCTTCTTGTATTTTACTAAAATCACTGTAAAAAAAGATATCTTGCTTTTTCTAAAGGGCCCTAACCATTTTTTGTCAACCAGCAATAAGCTGTATTCGACGGTAGAGGTTGAGGAGCTGGAGAGCTATCACCTTGGCCCATTTGCAAATTGAACCCATCAGCTCTCCAGCACTTTCGAAGCGTGACAAGTCAATAGTTGTTTTGACGTTAATCTTTATACAAATACATAATTGCCCCTATCTACTGACTACGACTGTAGAAGATCAAAGACAACAAACAACATGACTAATATAATAATAATTTGAGTGTCCCTTCATAATTTTCTTTTTTTCTCCTACGGAAAGAAACGCAGAATAATGCTGTATCTGTATGGGTATGTGACCTGACATTCGAAATAAGTGTGACTTCCAAGTGTGTACGCAGTGTAGCTATGTAGTAGTGCTACTCTGTATGTGACTGCACTAGTTTGGTTGTCTAGAGCACAACGGAGGACCGTCTAGAAACGTCTCGGCCAGCCATTTGTCTCTACTCTCCTCTCCTGGAAGCTGTACGGAACATTTGAAAATGGTGCGTCCTTTTTGGCCCTACAGCACTCGCTTCTGTCACACCATACTTGAATTTCTACTGTCCGACCTAATTTTTTTGTCGAGCAGAGCGGAGAATGCTTTTAGGAATCGGGCTTCTACTCGCATACGGCTAATAATTTATATAAAGGCGTTTAGGAACGACATACCCTCCAATTTAACTATATATATATGTGCTCTTGAGATGCAATTCAACTATTAGGTGTGCGTGAAATGGACAACCCACGTTACTTTTGGAGGATTCCGTATGGTATTACTTCCATCTCTGTCTGCAACGCTTGAAAGGGCATGGAGCGTTCAAAATTTAAGCAGAAATTAATATCAAGGGCAATTCTTGGTATGTTTCACATCAAATAGTGGGATTCGGAAATTAAACAGTACTAGTATAGTATACCATCAAGTGGTGACTACAGATATCTTTTCTTTCGGTTTGTAGTCCGAAAATTTGGAAGCACTTTGCAATTTGCAGTCGAGTCGTAAACGAAACTGGATCTTGCCAACCTTGTGGACGGTTCAAATGGAAGAAGCTCACGTCACTGTACAGTGTACAGGCGGTAACTCCCCGCCTCAATAATGCATTGATATTTATGATCAGCCTCGGTTTGATAAATAGGAAGACCGCCCATAATATTTTTCCATTTTATCCTTCACAGGAATCATCCTTTATAGAGGAGAGAGAGCAGTTCCCATATATATTATATTATAGGAGTGTAGTAGAATTGAAACCGGCTCTGTTATGATTTTGAAACCTTCAATTTCGGTTTCAACTTATTCCTACTGCTATTCCAGCTGTTTTTAATTTTACTTAATCATTTATGATTATGAAATTAAATATATTTATAACAAACATCCCCATTATTCAATGAATCCAACCCTGATCTCCCTAACCCCCACAAAATCACTACCCAGTCCGAATTTCAAAACATGACCGTGTGCTAAGAGAGGTTTCTGAAATTCTTGAAACCTTGAGGAGAGCCAGTGCAACTGCCATTAAACTTAAAGGAGGCTTCTGAAATTATTATCCGTAGTTCCAACTACAACCATCACCCAGCAATGCAAATTTCAGCCGGACGCTCACCAATCACCAGTTCCATGTACCATTTCTGTTGCACAAATCAAGAATTATCTTACCATTTCTGTTGCACAAATCAAGAATTATCTTTCTAGAAACCAAAATACCAAGAACACATGCCTCAACTAGGAAGAGGTAGAGCATTACATCACACACACCCCAGGAACAGGTTTTGTGGCTTGTAAACTGCATCATGACAAAGATTGAATGCTTCAAAGACATCCATCCAGCCATGGGAACCGAGTCAACAAAAGAGTAACAATGATAAACTACAGAATGGTATAAACCATGAACCTGAGAAAAAAATTCAGTATCAAACTTAAAATTGTGATCACATCCTTCAAGTAGGACAATAGATACGTCTCACAGCATTTAATAGAAGACAAAAATAGAACCATTTCAAAGACAGACACAAGTCTAACATAACCAAAAACATTTCAACTCTTCCTAAGCAAGTTGAAGGAACAATCTTGTCTAAGTGTTGGTAGCTCTGGTGTATATCTGCTGGCTCGCATGAGCTGAGACCATCCTGATCAAACCTCTAGCCATCAGTTCCCTGATAGCCTTCCTTGCAAGTGATCCGCTAATCTGCAAGGTTATTCAATGAAAAAAATTATTAGAAAAACTCTTTTAACTGAAGAATCAAATGAAAATTTTACCACATCAGAAAATTAAGGGATTGAGAAAAATCAACAAGGCAGAAAAAAGGAAATCAAAAAAATAATGAGTGAACAACGAATTAAGACTAAAATATATCAGTGTCCTGTTAAAATGCTTGCGTAGAAACCTTAAGTCGTTTGTCTGAAACATCAATACGCTCTGAGAAAATAGCCACTTAGTAGGAAATAATCTTTAAATCATAATACCGACAACTCTAAAAATGGTCAAACTGGACTTCTCAAAACCATGATCTGGGAATTTTAACTTTTTCCTAATGAATATGGATTTGTTGTTGCGAACAATCAGAAGGTAAGCTCAGACAGTGACACATATATTTACTACCGAACACTACAACCCTTCTACAAGTTCCCCATTAATAGGTATACAGGACAAATACATAGCACAAAGTAAGCAGGAAATCAACCAAACAGTACTCAATTGAGAGGTCAAGAATATTGTGAGCTTCAGGCTAGTGTTTGTGCTATGTGCACAACGAGAAGAGTTATTCCATAGGTCAATTATTCCATAGGTCAATATCATCCCAACCAATTCCCAGAGAGGTAAATTTAGAAAATACAGCAATCTTGCCGTGTAGACTCACTCACATCCATCCAATTTATATCGAAACAACCATAACCGTGAGTAGTCATCAAAATCACGAATAGCTACCCATGTTGAACAAAAAAGAAAACTAAGCATCTATAAACATTTCTTCATTTCCTGCTCCAGTCGTAGATACGGATAACTATCCAGTAACCTAACAACAGTAAGAATCTCGTGCACAAGAAAGTCAAGGCAAATCTAGAATAACCAGCATAGGCTACCATAAAACTAAAACATCGCAAGTAAATCTAAAAAATGAGTAGGCGAAAATACCCTGAGACGGTCGGAAAGAACAGAAGGGGTAATAAGCTTGTATTTAGGAGCCTCAGACAGCAGCTTGTCATAGGTGGCCTTGTCGAAGAGCACCATGTTGTTGACCTTCTCCTTTTGCTTCCCCTTGCTCCACTTCTTCTTCTTCTGCTTCCCGCCACCGGACTTGGCTGGCTTGGAGGACGGAGGTGGGGCCTTATCCTTCTTCGGCGCCTGCAAACAACCACAAACCAACAAAATCAATTCAAAATACACCATCAAAGACCTCGAATTCGACAAGTAGATATGGAGAATAGCAGAGCACAAGGACGACCAACCATTGCAGGAGAGGAGGAGTTCTAGGGTTTTTCTTGGGAGCGGCGGAGGACTACAGAGTGGAGAGAAGCGAAGAGACCGGCCAAATAAATCTTAAACCTGCTAGGGCTTGGGGCTTTTATTTGCTTCTCTTCGAGCTAAGCGGCGTCGTGTTGGGATGTTAAAAGGGCTTTCAGTTTTGAGATGGGCCGATCGGCTAATGAAACAAGTATTCGTTGAACGATCAGCCCAGTGGGTTACTTAATAAAGATTCTCCGGGCTGCTGGAAAGTTCTCGCCCCTAGCAGAGCAGTTAGTGGGTCACTAAGGGCGTGTTAAAAGCCGCGGGTTCAATTTATCTTTGGGACATCTGAAGGGTTCTTGTACTTGGGCTGCTTAGGTAACAATTAGCGTAATGGGCTCATGAATTCATTAGGCCGAACCCTTGCGCTTCTTTTTTCCCTCCAAATTCGAAGGCCACTCGTTGAATTTCTGAGGGAGTGTTTGGTAAATGGATATAAAGGGCATAATAAACGGGTATCAAAGGTAACGATACCCATACCAGATGTTTGGTTGACCAATTCATGAATCATTTGGAATGAAATTTTTAGATTTTGCTCGCTCTCCTTTCCCACTTATAATTTGGGCTTCAAACTGTTTGACACTTTAATAAAATGAATTCAATGACTCCTCCAAACTAAAATGAGTTCTCTCATTTATTGTTTCGATTTCAGAATATGAATAAAAGACGTTTACAAGATGACTTTTTTCATCTCTCACTTTTAAAACTGTAATTTTATGTCCTTTACAAATTCACATTGATCAAATTTGATCCCTACCTAAGTTCCGACTAAATTTTGGTTAGAATCCACCACGTGTCTCGTACGTGATTATTTTTTAAGAACAAAATTGTCAAATCAAATTTTATATAATTCGATTCATAATCTCTCACATTTCGAAATATGAACCAAAGACGTTCGTTGGTTGCCATCACAAGTGTCCACACTCATTGTCATTGCCCTTCTCTCATCAAGCCCATCGGCAATAATCTTGC